ATCTTTTTTTCAAAAATCAATACCAAGTGTGCTGAATCGAGAGTAAGTTGTGCCATATACTTTAAACGTTTCATATTTAAAGAAAGTTTTATGCATAATAATTCTATTTCCATTAATATCAAATTGCTTACCGCTTGAATCAGAGGTATTTAATAGATTCTCTTTCGCGATTCTATCTGCCTCTGACATTAGAGCTTCATTAGACACAGGCATATCGTTTACTTTACTTATTTGATGAGCTGATTCTTCGATATCAGTATCAGAATCCATTTCTATGGTTGGTGAGATATTGTCATTCTCTATTCTTTTCAAATGATCCATCAAAGACTCCTGTTTGGCTTTTGCTTTTTCCTTTTGCTTATTTGAACTTCTCGCAATTTTTGAGGACAAATCATCATCCGTCAACGAATCGGAATCTTTCTTTGCATTTTTCTTGCGGCTCTTTTCAAGTTTATCCAAATTAATAAGACTGTAAAGGATAATGGAAATAAGGTACTTTGGATAATAACCCACTAATACATAAGTTAAATTTGTCACTTGAAAAATTTATTGTATAATAAAGATGTCTATTTCACTCAAAACAAGTTTGTAAAATATAATATCCAGTCCACGATATACAAAAATTTTAGTCCGCAGAAATTGTAGATACTATTTATATAAAAGTATATATAAATAAATACATTAGAGTTATATATTACAAAAACGTGAAACATTTTTCAATATAATTGATCCAAAGAATTGTCGATTTGAAAAAGCGTTTATTATATGAGTAAACTTGTATTCATTATACTTTACAATCGTGTCGAATTAAATAATCAATGCTAGTTGAATATGATTAATTATGCTGTTAAGCAGGCTGTTCTGCATTTTTATCCTAAGTTCGAGTTTTTTTCTCATTAATAAAGAAATTTTAATTTTAATTTAGAAAACTCTAAATTTTATACTTCTGTACGTATCTGCTTACAAAATTTACAAAATAAAAATTCTTTAGTCAGTACGAATGAAAAAAATTTCTATACTTTGTGGCTGTGTAATTGGCGTATGATAGAAACAATACATCGGAACATTTTATAAATAGATCTATAGTAATAAAAATAATGCCAATAAACGCTAATAGTAGATTTATTATCATTATATTACCAAATTTTCATATGTGACTTAGTATGATATAACCTCATGTGAAGTTAAACTCTTTACTACTTTATAATATAATCATACCATAAATCCTAAATATGTATATAAGTCTATGCGATCCACTTGACGCTCTAAGGCCCAGTTTCACAAGTGTCGGTTAACTTTTAATCTTAGATTA